TGATAGCCCTGGTCTGTGCTGCAGGAGGTCTACTAAATGCAATGCCAGGTGGCAGAAAAATACTCGTTGGCTTTTCAGGCTAATCCTCAAGGTGTCAGCCCAAAGAGCTGCTGTTGCTTGCTCCTGCCTGGACTTGTGACACTTGTTACTGCGACTTCTAGCGGGACACTCAGTCTAGTGTTCAGGTTTTCTTTTTTTTCTTTTTCTTTTATTTTCCTTGCTGTTGTCTTTTGTCAATAAAAAAACAGAAATGATGCTACTTGAAATTACAAGAAGTGGGTTCATAAAACGCCAAAAACTAGCCAGAAAGACTAATCTTTTCTCTCATTTAACAAACTTAAGGAGAAACTGCCATGTACCAGGCATTGGAAATATGAGATAAAAGACCCAATAATCTACCTGATAAGAGTTTAATGGTACATTCAAGGAAAGTTGAATGGGCCTGAATCATCTTCCCCAACTCGAGGCCTCAGTTGCAGGCAATGCCAAGAAGCTCAGGATTCAAAGAATCGGATGGGGCCAATTTTAATCCCATCTCAGTGGCACAAAAATGGAAAACAAGATCCAGCAAACTATCATTTTCTAGGATGGTCCCACAGTCTTAGGACATCAAACGGCCTCTCCAAAGTTTCTAGTGCCAACCCAATGCATTTCTGTCCAGACTGGCTTTGCTCAATTGGAGGGCCTTTCTTTCTGGGCCTTTCAAGTCCATTCACTGCATGGACATAAAGCAAATGCCTGCCTAAAATCAGAAACAAATCACTCCTCCTACTTATCAGCCAACTGAATGTTGATGCATGAAGGACTTGAGAGTGGACATAATATTTTAACAAGCATGACTAATTGAGCCCTAAATTTCTAACTGGGCTCCTTTCCCCCTTAACATATTGTTTTCATGGCTGTTACAAATAGTTCTGAAATTACTACACTGGGGCTTCTTGACAAGCACATACAAAAAGAGAACATATACATTCCACATAGTACATAAAACACACACACACACACACACACACACACATTTAAATCAGGTCTCCTTTCACTCTTGCTTCCGCCTGAAGACTGAGCAATGCATCGTCTTTTTCTGATATGTAACTGCCTGGAGTTGAACGTTCAGTGCTCCGGCTCTTTTCCTGAGCCTCAGAGAGACATCACTTATGTCAAATATTTATTATACTTTACTGCGAACATTTTTTCCTTCATTCTTAGTATCAGAAGAATGGTATAGGAAAAAAAAACAGGTGTTTTTCCACAGTCTTCCATTAAGGTATCAATGCTTGGCTGTATAAATTGTTCTAAACTGACCACTGATTTGTGCACGTGTGTGCTTTTGTGTTTGTGTGCCCAGACAATTTGGGAGTACCTTTATTTCTTAAATAAAAATGATAAGGTTCCACTTTCCAGAATGTATTATTTTCCCCACCAATCTTTTAAAAACACTGTCACTCAATTTAATACCAAGTAGAACTAAATGATAGATTTATAATTTTTTCAGATCCCTTTTAGGTCATGTGGATGTCATTAACACCTGATAAGGTAATTGATACCTTATTTATCCTGATTCACAAAGCTGCCTTCCCAGCATTGTCATTTGGCTATCTTGACACAACATATAACTAGGCAGGAAGAGTAGGATTCCACGAAGCCATCTGTTTTCCGGAAGATCTAAAAGCCCACATTAATGGAGATCTAATTGCTTTCTTTTTGGTCATAATTTATGTTTGCTGGTTGGCTAGTTAGTTGACAATTAAACTACTCGCTCTCAGACACAGTTTATTCTGTTAGAGGGTAAATATCCACTTCACCTTATCTGAGGCTCACATTTCCTCCCATTCATTAAGGGAGAGCCATATCACACCCAGGAAGAGGGACAAAAGCCCACAAAGAAATGAAACTCCTGATTTCTGTTTTCTTGACATTGTATACATTTATAAGGGGGGAAATGCATCTGTTTAACCTAGGAGAAAGTGGCGTAAGAGAACTCAGCAGCGCAGAGGAATCTGGATAAAGTGAAGGTGAGTGCAGCCTGCATGCTCTTTCAGACACTTGATAGCTTTAACATGGCAGCGACCATTATCTAACTTTAATTACAGGATTGAATGACTTGTCAAACATGTACTGTAACTTATTCCTGTCTACTATGTATGCCCCATTCCCTGTTTGTAATTCTATCAGACAGCATTATTTATTTGAAACAGAGAATTCTGCTCCCTTCCTGAATTTATTGTGCTATAAGCAGGATAAGTATAAAATTTTATGAATGAAAATCATCACTTTGAGTCTTCTCACTCCATTCCTTCCTTCCCTTCCCCCCTCACAAAAAAAGACAGCTGGGTGAAGAACAAAAAAAAATTGTACTTCAAACTATATTGTCAACATGTGCACATCAGCCACGAGACTGTCACTTTTCGAGCATGCGCAATACTGCACAGTCACTCCAAAGACAAAATCTGTTTTATTCCCAAGCTGCTGTGATTACTTTTTCATATTGTGTAGCTGGACAGCCAGTAATACACCTACTGCTCAAAAGGATGACTTATCTGAGTGTCTAGAATTACAGAGAGAACCCACTTGAGGCAAATAGAATGCAGGCAATTAGGAACATGTGCATTCTAATCGACTTTAAATGTTTGGGTTCTTGCAAATTCACACAAATATCTTTGGTGTAAATTAAAAGCTATAAACAAAATTTGTTCCTTTGTGAGTCTAAAAATTATCCAATTTCCTTTTTAGTTCAGCATTTACTAAGCACCTACTTTGTGCAAAGTATTATTTAGGTGGAGTGCGTGCAAGGGAATACCAAAGCTACTTTAGTTACCAGCTCATAATCATAGGCTTTAGCTTCCTTACAAAACAGATGTTGTAAAACGTGTGCAGTGGACACTTGAGGGAGAAAGATAGTTTGCAGAAGTCCCAGGAGTCATTGTGAGTACTAAAATCAGCAAAGAAGAGCACAGAATGCAGTCACCACCTTTAATTAGCATGATATCAATTCTTTCCCAGAATATTTTTTTTTCCTAAACAAGCTCCTTCACATAGGTTTTCCAGCAACAGCTTCGGATCTCATCACTATAGGAGGCGGCAGAACGTCCAGTGGTCAAAGTTCCTCCTAATGTCTCTGACACCAGTTTAGCTTGTCTATTTTGGCCCTAATATTAGTATTTTCTCTTGGAAAAACAAAAGGATGCCTCTGGTCCAAAGTCTTGAAGTAGCAAGACAGCACGTCCTGAAGCAAAGCTTACCGAACCGTGTGATCTAAGCAGGTAATCCCTAAAAAGGGAGAAGTTGTTTTTTGTCATCTGCCCACTGCAAAAAAAGCAAGTACCTACTGCTCTACCTGTAGGAACTCCTCAGATGTGAAACAGTGAATTGCCTCAAAAGACTCTCTCAACAACAGTCTGGAAAACTGATGTGAAATGTACTACACCTATAAATTCCACTGTGAGCAGTTCAGTTCTTTGTTTCTAGGTAGACTATAGCACCTGGGCAGGGAAACTGCCCTGTGCTTTAAAAAATTAAATCTTGCAATAGCTTTGTTTTAATTGATGCTTTTCCATGAGCTCTATACATGCCTCCAGAGAGCCTGTGGAGATCTGAGCACGATTTACAAATAGCAACTTCAAAAGAGCCAGGAGAGAACTCCTAAAACACATACCAATCTCTCTCTCCCCTTCCCAGTCACTTGCTGGATTCAGTAGCTGAGTATCTGTCAACCAAGAAGCTTCTAGTGTTTTGGAAGAAGTAACCAGTGGGAAAAGATAGGATAACATCAGCTGGACTCATTTAGTCTGTGCTCAGAGAAGTTTGGCTAAATATGAAAGCATCCTCTGAAAGTCATGCAAAGAAATTACTTTTAAAGGAGTTGAAACAACAAGGACTAGATTTGCATTGGCAAAAGAAATGATGTGAAAACATTCAAGACAAATCTGAGGTCTCTGGTAAACCTCAGCGTTAATATGCTTTCTATCACAGAGGAAATAAAACCCAAACTTGGATGATTTGTATTAAGCATGGATACCAGCCATTTATACACCTATATCAACAGTCAATTTTCCAACCACTGTATCGATAATCACCCAAATACTTATTGATTAGACCATGCAGCCAGCATAGTAAAAAATTACTGAGCTCTTTAGAATTCAATCTTGCAATAGCTTTGTTCTAATTGATGCTTTCCCATGAACCCTATACAAGTGTACGGAGAGATTTTGGAGATCCTAGCCCAATTTACAAACATCAACTCAAGAAGAACTAAGAGAAAAGCAGTCCTCTAAAACACATAACTTCACAGCCCCAATAAATTCATCCATTGTATCTATTGGTACCCATCAGGAGACAGTGCTCAGAGCAATACACAGTAGGTCAAACTACAGTAATTATAAAACCACACAAATTAGTAACCTAAATGTCAATTTCCATGAGATCTCTGGCTTAATTTCTTTTTCTTACCATAAAAATTTATTGTTCGAATATTTTAAAAGTCAAGTCATGTTTTTAAGTGTCTTAAAAATGTACTCTCACGTGCTTGGTACCAATAGTACTAAATGCTAGCTGCTAGTATTGCTTCAGAGTGGGAAGACACAGGGTTCTGCAAGGAAGCCGTGGCATTACTCATGGTAGCGCATGAAAATGGGGAAATAAACTGTTACAGGCATTTGTGGGTGATATGCCATGCAAGAGGTTCTTTTCAATTACAAAAAAGTAGGGGGGTGGAGGAAGGGATAAAAGAAGGAGGAAGTTAAGGAAAGAGGGAAGGAAGAAGAGAAGAAAGTGAAGGAGAAAAAGAAGAGGAAGAGGAGGAGGAGAAAGACGAAAAAAGAAAATCAAAGCTCTAAAATCCCAGCAAAGTTTCGGGATTCATTTCTCTTCGAGCTGTCATTTTGTAAAAAACAAAAAACCAAACCAAACCAAACAAAACCAAAAACCTAAGAAAGTTTCAAAGACATTGTATTTCCCTAGAAAGGCAGCCACTGTCCCAAATCCCAACCCAGCTCCAGCCTTACCTTATGCAGCTAGTGCAAACCCAGACGCTAAGGGGCCCTTGCTCTCAGTGGCAGCGGTAGGGGCAGAAGCAGCGACAGTGGCAAATGCCATCTGTTAGCGGCAGAAGCAAAAGCAGCGCTGCGCGAGGTGGCCCCGGTGCCGGGAGAGCCTTTAGCAGTGGTGCATACTGAATGCCGCCATTTTAAAGCGAGGTTCCTGAAATCATTAGATATAAGCAAATTAAAGCCCGCCCCACCTACATAACTTCAGGGCTGGGACGGGCAACCCGGCTCCAAGTCGGCCGCTGTGGGGTATAAAATGTCAAGTCCAGAGACATGTACACGCGGACTCCGGGACGGAGGCGACAATCCCTCCGCTCCCCTCTTCCCACGCGTCCCCGGGGCTTTTGCAAGCCTCCTTTCAAGCCGGCAGGAAAGAATATTTTCTTTTCTCGACTCCACTGGAGTCCTATCTCGGGACAGCGCGGCGGGCTAGGGGAGGCGACGGGGACCCCGGACCGGCCCTCCCCCCGTCTCCCATCCTCTTGGTTCAGTCCATTTGGAGCACACCTCATAGCGCCCCAGCTCCCTCGCTGCGGCCGGGCGGGCGTGGGGCTCCTGCCCGGGCTAGCGGCTGCCATGGCAACCCCGGCCCAAACTCCGCCCGGCCCTGGCCAAAGGCGTGCCCTGCGCCCTGGCCCGTGCCCTCTACCAGATGTTCTCTCGGAGAGCCCCCTGACCCCTGCCCGAGTGGGCCCGGGCACCGGGGCTGCGGCTCTCCGTGACCCGCGACCGACACACGGGGCGCGCCCAGCGTTCGGCGCTGGCGAGGGGGCTTTGGGCGCCAAAACGGCAACTCCCGCGAAACTCTGCCAGGCTCTGGAGCCTCGCGCTGGCAGCCGCCGCTCCGGGCTGGGAAGCGGCGCGCGGCCGCCCTTGGCCGCCCGACCCCGCCCTGCACGGCCAGGTAGCGCGGCGCACCCAGCAGAGCCGCTGCCACCACTCTCACCTGGCTCGGCGCGCGGCTCCCAGTCCCGGCTTGCCGCTGCGGAACGCGCGGGAATTCGGACGCTTGCTGCCCCAGCTCCCGTGCCCACCCCGGGACTCTCTGTCCTCAGCCTCCCTTCTCGCTGCTCCCAAAGAGCGCCAAAAAGTCGCGCTCCTGATCGCGCTCCCCGTGCGGGCACTTTCTTCCTGTAGGGCGCTGTTTCGTCGCGAAATATATTCTTTGTGTGATTCGTGCATTCGTGCGTGATTCTCCGAGAGCGCAGTGCGCGGGCTTTATTCTCAGGGGGGTGTGGCGCTTCTCCCCCAAACCCCGCGGCCCAGCCCCCCGCCGCCCATGCCCTTTGTAGTCTCATTAAGGAGCGGGATGGGGGTGGTGGTGGTGGGAGGCAGATCATAATGCTCAGGTTTTGCAAAAGCGAAAACAAACGGAACATGCACACATCCCCGAAGGGGGAGGGGGCGGCAGCAAAGTTTCTGGAGCTTCAGGAACTGAAGTGCCAATGAGAAATGCAGTAGCGTTCAGAGACCGGTGAGGCGAAATAGGTAATTCCAAAAGCGACCTTAGTCAATAAATACAGCGGCTCGCCGCAGGCTGAATGAATAAATACTCACCGGCCGCCTTCCTGCTGTCCTCTCGCTTCTGTCAATGCCCCCGTCCTTTATTTCCTTCTAAGAACTTCAGAAAGAGAAATGTTGATCAGTGCAAATAGTTCCCTCTGTTCCATGGAGTGTACTGGGTAGGAGGAGCCCGAGGTAAAGCTGCAGATAGTTTTGAATGGAAAATAGATAAAGAAACCGCAGTTTTATATTTTGATTAAAAAGTGTGCATCTGGACAGCTAAATTACAAGTTTCCACTTAATGCAAGTGTAATAGGAGCACCAGCTGTCCCTTAATTGGAGCCCCACAATAATACACGCGTGCTTTTTATTTAATTTTATGAGGACAATTGCCGTTGATAATGCACGCATATGCAAGATTGTCAGTGACAAGCTCATAGCAATTCATGGCTGCTTTCCTGCAATCAACTGCTTCTTTGCCCTAGGACAGAGTTCCACATGCTCTGCAGAAAGTGCAAAAACATTGCAGGAGATATTTCAGGAGCCCTTAGGTTGAGGAATGGAGTGAAGTCTCAGGCTAATTATACTTTTTAATTCCGCCGGACTGATCCAAATAGAATTCTCCAGCTAATTTCAGGCGAGAAATCAATCTGTGTTTGTTAAATGCAAGATAATAGGAGCAGGATCCTAAAGGTTGGGAGGAGAAGACTGGGTGCAAACTGCCCTTCAAATAATTCAGAAAATCTCCAAGGGTCTTTGACAACTATTGTGAAAAGTCATCAGGACACTGTGCAGGGACACTATCTGACACTCAGCAATTACAGGCAAAATTCTAGCATAAGGCAAATAGCATAGAGTTTCTAGTCATTTGGGGGGGGGGCATTCTAATTCCTGACCACTTTGCCCCGCCTGCCTTCGACTTGCCAAATTAGCTGCACTACTATAAAAGTCAAATTTGTCTGACATATAGGAAGTGCCTCTGGCAGACCAGGAACTGCCACAGCTAACAGTAGGAGGTGTTGGCTACTGCAGTAGGCTGGGGAGAAGGGCAGGGCTGGATTATAGAACTTTATACTCAGTGATCTAACAAATGAGGAACTGTTATCGCAGTGAGTCAACAAAGGAGTCTTTATACTGAACACAACTTGGGTCAACACCAGTTCTCTTACCTCTGTCCACCATTGCAAGCCACAGCTCCTGTGGGACATTCTGCATTTCCCTCACACCACGCAGAGTGGCTCGATTGCATTGTGATCGTGGTGCAGAAATAACTGTTGTATCGTATGTGTAGGACGGATATATATAAAATTTGCTGGTTCTTCGCTTCAAGCCTTGTGTCTTGCTTGAAATTTCTGGTCAGTGAAAACTGCAAATGAAACTTTGTTACTCTCTATTTCCTATACTGGAAGGGAGAGCAACCTTATAAACAAATGTTAGCCTGGTAAACTGTCTGCCTTTCATCCAGGGTGCCGTGACCTCCACAAATGAAGCTACGCAAATTTCCATGCCACCAAGCCACCAGGGAGTGTTTTCAAAGGCGGTAGGAAATTACTGTTCCCGCCTCTCAGCATTTTAAAAAGGTCCATTTGCTCTCTGGGGTAGACTCACCTTGGAATTACTTTCCACTTTACTAGAGTGGTTAGAACTAGCCAACATTTTCTCTTCTGTTCTTCCCTTTAGGCATGATTGGGGGCATGACCCAAGAAAAATAGGGTCGTGGACTGACTGATGCACTGGATAGGTTCTTACAATAATGTATGTACATTTTAGTCTCAGAATACCTACACCTGTTCTCCCATTGCATTTGGGGATCATTACAGAACCACTAGGCTGATGGATCTTCAAAGGTCAGTGTATTTTTTTTTTTATTCAACATCTGAATTTAGAATTTTAGTCCTTTCCCTCTTCATCAACCAGTCAAATGGAGGCAGGTAAGCAAATATTTAAACACACCTGGAGAACACACTGCCCCTGGCCTAACCACATCTTCATGATTGAAATGGGTGCTTACACATAAAAATAGAAGGCTAACACTCTGGAGAAGGATGTAGCAGCCTCTCAAGTAGCATGTTCTTCCAATAAATGCAACTATCTTTGATGCAGGAAAGAATTCTGAAAGGTATGTAATGGTTTAATAACAAAAGGATGATTGTCATCCACCGCTAAAAATTTGTTACTGTGTTTTAAAAGATGACAGATAGGCAAAAAGTTAAACTTTCTCTTAAGTCAGGTGCGCCATAGTTTCGAGGTTTTGAATCCTCAATATAGTCTATCAGAGTTAGCCTTTTACCCCTCTGCTATGTCACATAATTAAAAAAAAAGATAGTGTGAATTGTTGGACATATGGGGAGGACCATGCCATGGACAAAAGGTGAAGAATTTCTGTCCTGTTTTGAACCTGTGGAATTAGCCTGGTGCTATCAACAATAGTGCTATTGACTATTGCTGTGTTCTAGCCAGGGCTCCCAGGCTGCAGCCCCACAGCCGCTCTTGTGGTCATTCCATACAGAAGCCCCTGGCCATTGAAGGGTGGCTCAAGAGCTACAGACGCTGATTATTCATTCATTCCTGAAAAGCCCTTCTATTCAGGGTTGGGAATTTGGAGTTGGGTTCACACAAAGGTTCGGCCTAAAGAAACGGGGGTGGGGATAGGGGGGCACACAGAATCTGGTTGTTAAAAAGATTTAGGCAATCAAATAAATGTCGGCTTCCAAGGTGAGCCCTTTGGAAAATGCTGCAGACTGTTATTTCTGACAGAGAAAAAGACAAGGAATCCAATAACTACAGTCACGCCCCATATACGGATATTTTGGGCAATAGCAATCTGCATATGATAGTGGATTCTTAAGATTAGATGGCCTAGTGACATTGTAGCTGTCTTAGTTTGTGTCTGTACACTCTGATGTTCGCACAAGACAAAATCACCTGATGATAAGTTTCACAGAACATGCCCCCATTGGTAAGTAATTGACTGTAGTGGAACACGAAAGCAATTGCAAACATAGCTAACAAATTGACCAACAACTCTCAGGTTGAAAAGAACACTTCTTAAATTCAAATTCTTTTTTTCAGTTGGACAAAATTGTCCAAATGATCTATATGTATTCCAGTACACACAGGAGAAAACAGGACAAATATCAAAGAACTAGGTGCTCCAAAACACACCAAGGGCCAATTGGGTTTATGAAATGATTCCCCCCTCCCAAGACTTTGAAGAGTATATTATACAAATTATCTTTGATTATTGAAAAATATGATATATTTCTTAAATTTATCCTCAAAGGGAAATGTAGTATGAACGATAGAGAGAAAAATGAAATAAAAGTGTAAGAATAATACAAAAGTTGAGGATAACATAGAAAGAAAACCCAAGGTCCACTCTCATGTCAGAATTTGCTAATTACTAGAGTAATCATGTAATGTGGGACTGCTCCACACCAAGGCACTGTACTCAGCACTTTGACACGTTAGCTCTTTGACTATTCACAACAATCCCCATAAGGTTAGTAGTGTTATGTTCCCATGTGAAAAACAGGAAGAGTGAGGCTTGTCCAAAACAGCAAAAGAGCAAAGCTGTCAAGTAGCAGAACAATGATTTAAAATCAGTTTTCTGTGATGACAAGGCCCATGCTTTTAACTACTAGACAATAAGTACACAAGAAAATGAGGAAAAAAATTGAATTCAAAGATAAGTTTATTTTGGTGCAAATGAAATCCAGGTATAGTTTTTTCATAATATGTATTTTTCAAAGACTTTGTGAATATGCCTTGTATGTATGCATGAATTTCAATTTTTTGTACCCAGACAAGCCAACCTTTTAAATCCATTTTTCCATGAACCTTTTGAAGTACCCTCGTATTGGAAAAACAATGTCATTTCCAGGCTTGGGATGCCTACATCTCATATGGGAACACTTCAATTCGATTCCTGGCTCTGCTTCCAAGCCAGCTTCCTGCTAATGTACAGCTTGGGAGGCAACAGTGATAGTACTTGGGCCATTGCCACCCACATGACAAACCAGGATGGAGTTCCAGGCTCCTGGCTGCAGCCTGGCCCAACTCTGGGTACTACAGGCATTTGGAGAGTGAACCAGAGGAAAGAAGATTCTCTCTCTCTGGCTTTCAAATAAATAAGTAATTTTATGGTTCAAAGTACGAGGTTTCATTTGATACTAATTAAGCTGCCAAAAATAACAATTTGCAAAATTCAATACTATGTGGGCTCTAGAAGAAGTTAAAGTTGCTAGTGGCATTGCAAACCAAGTCAATAACCAAAAATGAGGTAGACATTTGGTACAGAGATTAAGGCACTGCTTGGGATACCTGCATCCCATGTTAGAGTGCCTGGGTTCCAATCCTGGCTCTTCTTCAGATTCTAGCTTCCTGCTAATGTGCACCCTGGGGGGCAGCAGGTGGTGGGTCAAATACTTCAGTCCCTATCACTCACTTGAGAGACCCGGATTGAGTTTCTCTCTTTTTGCCTTTCAAATACATAAAATATTTTTAAAGGAAGAATCACAAAAATGTTCATAGTCTTGGAACCAGGAACTCCAATCTTGAACATTACCCTAAGGCAATAATTCAAAAGAATAAAAAAAGTAAACTTAGCTTGAATACTAAAAAAAAATCTAAAACAACCTAAATATCTAACAAAAGGGAAAGGTTTAAGATA